GACGAATGATGTAGAGATAAAAGAATTGGTAGCCCCAGAATCAAAAAGTACATAAGCAGGTACATTAGATAATAACAGAATACTTGTTTGCATAATTTATAGTGTTAGACTAACAACCAAGGGGCGGATTTGGAAAAATGTGTAGTCCTAGGTAAAAAAGAACAAAAGCAAGTGTGTTAAAATATTAAATAATTTAGTACCTGCTATCACATTCGGATCCTGCTCCACCTCATGCTGATTTAGTGCGAAAACTCGGGCCTTTCCTTTCTTGTTCTTGTCCTGATCATCATCCTTCCTTTTTGGTGGCTCTGTACAGTTGAGAGCAATGTGCCCTGGCTTACCACATCGAAATCACATGTTCTTCCCGAGTAAGCATTCACCCCTGTGGAGTTTATTACACTTAGGACACGGTGTAATATTCTCACTCGCTCCACCAATACGAACTCCTGTGTTTGGCCTTTTACTCTGCCAATTACGTCTGTCCTTGTTTGGATCATTCCACTTTCTTTTTCCCGATGACTCCTTACTCTGCTGGGCATACTGTTCAAATGAGGTCCTCTGATATGAAATAGCATGAGCCCTCTCCAACATTTCACGATATGAGGTGAAACGATGGGACATAATGATCATGCCGATCTCAGGGCGCAGTCCATTCTCGAACCTCCTAATCTGCTTAACTTCTGTATCCACCAAGTGCGGGGCATACCTTGAGAGCTGCTCAAACTGTCTTTCATAATCAGTAAGTGACATACTCCCTTGTCTGAGCTGTAAAAATTCTGATTCCTTGAAGTCTCTCAAAGCCTGTGGGAAATATTTTGCCATCACTTCATCTTTAAACTGCTCCCAAGTTAGATTACGTTGCTGCTCTTCCGTCCTTGTACGTGAAACAGATTCCCACCAGTGACCAACTGCTCCAATCAACATAAATTCTGCACATAATACTTTCTATGCATCCGTACAAACAATGTGTCGAAATATGCGCTCCAGGCCTCTTATCCACTCTTCGACAACCAGTGGTTCAGAATAACGTCGCAAGTGGAAGGCTTGTAGCTATGAAACTGCTCAACCACTGAGACAGCTCCAGGGGCAAAATGCGGTGCATTCTGCTGTGGCGGTGCATTTTGTGGTGGAGGTGCT